ACAAAAGGGATTAACAAAATCAATTTAATCATAATTACCTTTTTCCAGTTACTCGGTACTCTGGCATCATACATGTTATCTAAAGCATCACGAAGATTTTCACTCATAATAATGGTACCATCAATAGCTAGTTTTAAATCCTTTAATGTACTACGTACTAATGTAAGTACTTTCTGCATTCTGTCTATTTCTTGTCTTAAGAAAATATTGATAGGTTGAAGCAGACCCATTTTCTTCAGTCGATCTTTAACCTAGAATAATGAACATAAAAAAAAATTTATCCTTGGCAATTAATAACTTATTGAGGATTGAATTAGTATCAAGTTTTGATCTGGAGCTCCATTAAAGAATTAAAAGTCATTAAGAATAATGTAGATAAAGAAAATTGAACATTTGAAATAATGGAATTGTACTAATTAAGTCTTAAAAGTATGCAATCGATGGCGCTACAGGGATTTATTCGGAGCATGAGACTTCATCCTTAGTTAATAAGTTTTATAAGGTGATGACGCTGACTCAGGTTCAATGAATTTGATAAAATGTTAAAATATTTGGAATGAAATGTACCTCATGAGGAATGTAATCTCCGGGAAGTTTCTCCAACATATCATCAGCTAACTTATAAACAACAGACTCACGAGTTTCTCCTCCACCACTACCAGCATCTTTAGGTTGAATATTAACAATGCATGACAACATTTCATTAGCTGTATTAGTGGAATATCTGTCAAAATTAAAAAATATTTGATGAGAATTAAGTTATCAAAATTTTCTATTTTACTATTAATCTACAATAAACATAATTGTATTTCAATATGACAAGAAAGACAAAAACCAAATTTCACTATTTCTACAATTCATAATATAGAGCCCTATTCTAACAACGAAAAGATTTCTTATTAATGTATTTAATGAGAAATGTTTTAAAGATAATGTCTAACAGATCAATCATTTTTGAATCATCCTGCTCACTCTTAAAACTTACGTAATATCAGCATTAGGATGTAGTCCAAAACATTCAGGAGTATCAACTAGTGGTAAACTGTCAATTTCATTTCTATATTCATCTACTGTCTTACATTTAGGTATCTTATAACCTACAACAAACAATTATACACAATATTAATTTATTACAGAAGATGTGTGTTTATCCCATTGTATATTCCTAACATGTCCTCTACAAGACAAACTCAAGGCATCTTGTCACACCTATATAGATATTTGTTAGGTCATTCATGATATCCAAATAGCATTCATTAAAATCCAAAGATAATTATGCCACTGTGGATACTATGATATCTATAAGGAGATATACAAGTTATTTATAAACCTTATTAAATTTATATAAAAGAAAATATACCTGTATAGAACTGGAATGAATCCTGGAACATATTTTCACTGAACCAGACTTTAGAGTAAGTATTTAATAATCGTTTATCATAATCATCAGTAACACGTCCACCATATTGTACTTCACCTATCATATATCTTATTGTTATAAAGTTAACACCCTGTAATAATAATAATATTAATAATAATCATAATCATAATAATGAAGCCATACCATAAATTTTCTGGAAAATATTGCAGTTTTGCAATATACTTTTAATCAAAACTTTCAATTTCGGTCTAAAATTTGAACATGGAACTTTCCTAAGCTACTTCTAAAAATCAGAATGCTCCTTTAATCATGCTTAGGTGACCAACTTAAGTTGAGAGATAGACCAGTATAATACACTGACATGGGGCGATGTAATTAACCATATTACATACCCTCTTAGGATCAACATCATCTAAATGATTCTGTATAAACTGTACTGTAGCAGAGAAATCAGACTGGTTGAATTCATAGGGAATATTCCATCCAATAGGTCCAAATTTACGTCTTTCTTGTACTGTAGTATGTAAGAATCCCACTGCGTATAACATAGGTTTCCATTGTGGTAGATTGGTGTATTCCAATTGTTCCTATAGAAGAAATATTATATGAATTTTATGCTAAGACTGAAGAACAGACATGACAAATACCAGTACATATCTGTTTTCAAAAGATAAAATCCATATGCAGACAATAAAGCATGACTGAACCACCAGGTAGGCATCCCACAACAGCTTTATGCTAAGGATAACCAGATTTTGAAAATATCATTCCAACTATTTTTACATGTACAAGACTCAATTCTAGGAATAACAAACTTGTGAAATTGTTAATTCCATTGTACAATGAAGACTTACTACTACATATTGGTCTCCATGTCTTAAAAGAAAAGGCAAAACTAACCTGTGTGACACCAGCATATGTTCTCTTCAATCCAGCTTTAACACCTTGAGGTGGTTCATTGGTGAATTTAACTGAAGTTTGTAGAAGGTTGATAGGGAATTTAGGATGAACCTCAGTTGTTAACCATAATCTAAACTGATCATGTACTACCTCTGTATTCAAAACCTATAATGAGAAAATTGATAAAATGGAATTACGTAAAACACTATACAGATAAACAGTGAGAAAAAAGTTTTGTCAGGCATTTGATGATGCAAAGGGACAACCAATCTCTGTCACAGTTAACCTCTGACGTCCCCAAACTTAAAGTTTAAGAATCTTCATCACTTGGTATTGGGCCTATTGGAGTTTAAAGGTCACAGAAATACTTACAGTATCCAACAGTTCATCCATAAAATCGAGACCTAAATGGCAATTCTGTAGGAGAACCCATCTACCCTCAGCCATAGAAATTTGTAATAATCTTCTAGCATGTACTTCTTGTCCTTGACCCATAGAAATAGCACCACAACCTACAATAGAAAAGTTTATCAATGTTATGATCAATAACCTACAATTAATTCTGAGAATTTTAATGCCGAGTTTATCAAACCATTTGCAGAGTTGCATATATCTAATACATGTTATTCAATCAATAATTTATCTCATAAAACTGTTTTCAGAGATGATTTTGTCATGCATATATGCTAAGATTAAAAGTGACCAAGAACCAACTTATTCAGAACCCTAGATAACATATTTGCATTATCAAAACAAGGAAGACCTTCTTCAATAACAAAGAATATGAAGGATAAAGAACATCATAACTTACTGAATCCTTTCTGTTTAGCTAGCTTCTCTATATTGTCTGTAGGATCAGATCCCATAGACAGGAAACATGTTAATGGTGATCTCTTATTAGATTCTTCCCACATAGTTTCCATGTTTAATATCACACCTTCAGCAAACTATAAAACATTATATCATATCACAATTTAATAACATTCTACAATTCCTGAAAATTCACTGAAGGAGCAGCTGTGGCTTATGAAGATAGATGCTAAATTCATTTTTCCCAAAATGAATTGAATTGAGTTTTATGTCATATTTTTCTGCATCTGATTTATGAAGACAGCAATGCCATACAGAGTGCAATGTCAGGATGGCTGCTTAAGTCTATCATGCTGTGCGAGTCAGAAATTCTACATATTTCATCTGTTAGAATGTTAGAGACAAGAAGACTTGTTGGTCATCTTTTCCATGCATACAGCAATTTGACTATAAAATCATCCCATTATTAAGATGAACATTAAATAAAAGTTTACCTCAGGTCCCATAGTTTCAGAAACAAAAACTCTAGCCATGGGTGTAGTTCTGTCTGGACACCAACTTCTAATAAGCAGTAGTTTATGGTAGGTATCTAAGGTATTGTTATAACCATCTGGTATAGGACATTCTTCAGGTGCATCTTCATCAAACCAAGCATTTCCATACCTACCAGATTATCATTTAGTTACAGTGAGT